CTGTTGAGCTACTATTTGAAGAGCATCCTTTGTATGTTATTAAACATCATTGACAAATATATAAACTAAATAAATGGAAGTTATTACATTTTGACAGTCATGTTGATTAAACAATGGGACTCGGGTTTGAATTTTAGAACACAGGAACAGTCTGCAAAATGTTGCATCTTGATATACGCACAAACATGCCAGTGTAGATTTTTTTCTGAGAAAGTATGAGAAACACATAATGAGTATTTGTGTTGATGTGCATTTGGTTCTTTTCATGATTTGCTTCAAAGTGAAGCCATTAAAACTGGCAAATAAGAATATTAAGATTGTGATGAGCCTTTCAGAAACCTTAGGGAAGGGAGCATATTTTAAATGAATAAAAACCTGTCTATTACATAGGGTGTGGTAACAAAAAAAGATGCAGACCTTTTTTTACCAAGATGAGTTGATTTACAGAAAACATTGGGCATCTCGCTTAAACTGACAAATTATAACACCTCTGCAGCTACTGAAGTGATTTTCTGGATTGACATTTGCTTGTTTGTATTATAACCTAACTGATACAATCTGTTATCATTATCTTCAGCTATATCGTATTAAAGGTTGATTATTTAGTACTTATGTTTTGTTAATGGGCTTTTCATGGGGAGGTGGCATTACCTGCTTGTAAATTAGACATTTTTAATAAGATGCAACATTGGATTGAGCACAGTAAAAGAGACAGATAAAGCTACCAGTGTCTCCATACAATTTGGGAGCCCCTTAAATAGATTTCTGTTAATTTTATCTCACAAAATCCTTCTTGCGCTGTTATTCATTGAAGAACTTCTAGTATATATTTTTCAGATACTGCACAGACAAATTAGGCGTATGGTAACAGACACTCACAAAAGTGTGAATGTTTCTCTGCTAAATCCCCCACGCACAAAAGGCTGAGCATTTACACTAGAGTGTCTAACAACAGGGAATTCATTGCATATTTTCCATACATTGGTGAAACAGGGGAACTTATATTCTTACCAGTTGCTTTCCATGAATAAATACAAAATGTAAGGGGAATTTAAACCTGTATCTCTGCAGTTACTATCTTTCTCAGTCCTCCACGTTCTCCTCTTCTAAAATAGTACATTTATTTAATATCAAATATTTCAGAATAATTCTGCCAGATCTTATCATGTCTTCTCTGGAAAATTATGGCCACGATGACTGCGAGAACTTGCCCAGTGTACTGCTTGTTTCAGCAGCCATTTCTCAGGTTAGTGTTACAATTTCCAGGAATAAGGTGGTAAAGTCCTAGAAAGAGGTGTGGAAGCTCATAAGTTTGAAGACCTTTTAAAGTTTTCATAGGCTGTCACTGTGGGTAGTATCTGTGCCAGGACATGCCAAAAGCAGTAGAGTTCAGATGAGGTATATTTTCTGTGATGGTAGTAGGATGGAGTTTTTGTAGTGGGGAGTATGAAGGCATAGTCATTCATGTTAGGGAGTGAATGTAGTAGTGTATACATCTATTAGCAACACACAAAGAGGAGGAGAGGAAGTTTCAAAGTTTGGCTGTGGCTTGGCTGATGCTGGTACCCAAGTCAGTGTTAAAGCTGGCAGTGACTTTTCTAAAGGTGTATACAAAGGCAGCTGTCCTGTCTAGAGTGACAGTTTAGCTGTGAAGCAACTGGACAAAGACGTGAGAGTTTTCATAACAGTTTCTAAGCAAATTACAAAGATTTTGGAGTATCAAGTGTTTCTGGAGACACAGATGCAATACAGCCTTTTCCCATATGGTCAGAGGGACAGGCACGTGGAGATGGTCAACACTGACATACTTCCAGAGTCGGTAGTGTTGAACAAGCAGAGCAAAGCTCAGCCCAGGCCATGTATGCACATGGGATCTCTCCTTTATCTACCACGTCTTTCTGATCATGCAGGACTTTCTGCACACCCTCATTCCTACTGACTTGTCAGGCTTGCTCCCACTGTGGCATCAGCTGTAACAAATAAAACTGTACTTTAAAGGAGAGTTCCTGAACTGATTGGGGCACAAGAGGTGGTGGCTAGGATTTGCGGTACTTGAAGGGTTGGGAGTAGATCCTGGTAATAGATGGTCAGATGTGATTAGCGGGTACTGCAAAATGCAGAGGGCTGCAGTAAAATTCCCACTTGCTGAAGCAGCTCTTCAGGAACCAAAGGTAGCCTGCACCATTTTTGTGGTATAGCAGGATTTGTTGCCAAAATGTTGTCTGCCACTGGAGGATGTAGGAAGCCCAGTTCAAGTTAGAGGCCTGTGTGTATAGGTAGGTACACGCTTCACCCCACACCTATCCATGACATACAACCTGCCAACCCTTCTCTTTTCTCCAGCCAGATAAACCCAGTGAAGTCCTACGGAGGCACTGCTTGCCTGTACCTTATGGCTAACGCTTCTTTGCCTTTTTGTGCCCTTGTCCTTTTCAGTATTCTGGAGGAGCACTCACTGCAGTAACATGGGCCAGTGTCACTCTTATTACTTTACCTGTTTTATCTTTTGTGAAATTGAGCCTTTAGCCAGAATTGCCTGAGCTGCTGCTCCAGCAGTTGGTTAACTGTGAGGCTCCTCGAGCTCATTTCTCTCAAGTAATTTGATTCCCACGTGCTCACTGAGATTGCTTTTTTGCTGAAAGGAAAGTAGGGAAGGGGGATGGGTGCATGTATGGGAGCAGACCAGAAATACTATGGCAGACAAATGTAGTTTAGAGATAAAAACAAGACAAAAACGTGTTTAAAAAGATCCCATCTCACTTTATCTCCCTTTAACCCAGTCCTGTAAACCAAAATGTTTTTCTGTTTGAGAATCAGAAACACAGGGTCTTTTGTGCTGGTGTAGGGTATGGAACAGGAGACTAAATTCCATCCTGCTTCTGCATAAAGCCAATAAGGTAATCCTTTCATTAAAATTACCAAAAATGTGTGTAAAATACAAATTAGGTTTTGAGGGGGAGATAAGATGTCATAAAAGACTTCCATAGATTTCAAGATATTTTCTGAAATCATACACAGAATTAAAGGCTTTTTATTTTGGTTGCTGAACTATTTCCTTTACATTGTGGTTACTTAGGAGTAATTGAACACCAGTTTTCTAGATAAGCTTCTATTTAAGATGGTTAGTATGACAGCAGTTTTCTAAATAATGTACAATTTATGGAGAGATTCTATAAAATCATCGGGGCTTTATCACAGTTTTGGGCAAATACCCTGCTGCAAGGGAGTGAAAAACAAGCCTGAAAAGTTAATCTTGCTGGAGGGAGAATTGTTCTAAAAATAAACCATTCAGTACGTAAACAATGGTGTATCAGTTGTCTGAAATATGCATTTGTCCCTCTGCATGGCGTTCATTGTATGTCCAGGCAGATCTACCACACTCAGGGTACAGAATTTCTATGTTACAAAGTCCCATTTTGTTAGATAGAATATTACTAATTTGAGCAGACGGTCTGCTTAGAGGTCTGTTATTTTACATGATGAAAATGAGGCTGTTGGAAGTGCCTGCTTTGGGTTTTGTTAGTGCTCATTAGTTTGTGTCACAAGAAATATGCCTTGATGATATCAGCAGTGTTATTAAATGTCCTAAGAATATATTTTCCCAGCAGCAGTGGATGGTATTCACAGTAACACTTGTAGGATCTTAGCTAATTTTCCATCTTGGACCTGGAAAAAAAATTTCAAAAAATTTAAAAATATACTTTATTGAGAAATGTGTGTAAAGGAAACACATGCTGAATGTCAGTATTACCCCAAACATTGACTCTTTTACTTGCTAGTCTTGCTGGATAGTTGTCATCTATCTCTTCAAAACAGTACACATGCTGCTGGACAAAATCATGGCAGAGTCCAGGGAGTAATGTTTTGGGGATGTGACTCAGGGTGGAAGGATTTTGTTGGGTTTTTTTTTTCTAATCTAGCAGTGCACAAGTCCTGAAAAAGGGTTAAAGAAGATGCGAGTCTGGAGGATAACGTGCCAGGTCAAAAAGCTGGACACATCTACTAATTTTTGCAGTGTCTGCATTTCAGTTTATGGTGCAAGGGTGATGTATGATCTAAAAAAGGCTATATGTACACAGCTGTATGCCAAATTTCATGACTGTTTCTGTCTAGCCCCGTTGCTTCCTTGTATGCTGTGCCTGCAGCTCCACCTCTTCAAAGACTGTTCTATTAATCTAACCTACTGAGAGCTATTCGTACAGCTTATGGGTTTTTATTTTTAAATCCTCACAAAAATGATTTGCTGCCCTCAAGTTAGGAATTTAAAGGAAAATTAAATTAAGGCTGCCTAAGTAATGAAAGCTTCTTTAGATTTGATAGATAGAGACCATCAAAGCAAAAAGTCTGTATCCCTGGAAAGATTTCTGATATTGTTTAGTGCTGGGGGGAGTTACTATTGCTAGTATATCATGCAACATCAGGCTTTAAATTCATACGCTTATGCTTCATGAATTCCTTAATTTCCAAAGTTGTTCATTATGTTTTAGGTCATAAATTAAGAGATTTCTAACTCAACCATTTCTATCCTTATAAGGCCTATGGCACTGGGGTCATAGTGTTGTATAGTTTTGCTGACAGATGCATTAAAGAAAGCAAGCCTTAAGAAACGTCTGATTTTTTTCTTGCATGCCATGAAATGTAAGCCTAGTATTTGTTACTGTGATATATGCGATACATTGTTGCCTGCCTAGTATGACACATGTATAGCTCTCTATTGCTTCTATATTTCCTGAGCAGTGGAGCTTTCCCAACAAGAGTTGAAAAACAAAAAAAATCCCATAAAACATCACTGGCCCTATTTTCAATTTGTTTAACTGGGGGGGGAAGTAATTGGTGTAACCTAAAACCTTTATACAAACCTGTGAAGAAGGGAGTTGACCAGCTGTAATCCCAAAATAGTCCAGAAAATGGTGTGGGGGGTGGAAATCCAGATTTTTGTTTTCTTATATGTGTAGAAAAATGTATGCCTTTTGTTTATCTCTCATTTCTTCTCTCTTTAGGTTTTCCAAATGAGCCTGCTGCTGTCATTGCCCTTAACACTATTAAGGAGTGGTTAAGCAAGAATCATAATGAGGTATGGAATAAAATAGAAATTTCCCAAATTTCTGTTTAAGGTTATGGTCTTTGACTCCAGAACTGTGAAACTAATAAACATAGGCTTGAGCCTCAAAGTCTTCTATTATTTCGTCTTAAGACCAGTGAAATCGGGTCAGGACAATATAGCCAAGGGAGGATTGTTATCTATAAAAGCTACACTGGAGTTGAAGGGAAATACCTTTGTTTGAAACCATACTGTGCATTTCCTGTGCATTGTAGTCTTTCCTGGCAAAGTAAAAGACTATTCTCTTCCTAAACTGTTTCTGAGCATCAGAGTTTTCATGTAATATTGAGGAGATTCTTGGAAAGGAAATGTATGTTACAGTTGTCAGTGAAAACAGCCACCAAAGGTCGGTGGCGTTCTAGAGGTCACTTTACAGTAAAGAGCTGTATGATAATATTTTCTGGTTTCATAAATTTTTGGTTTGCTTACAGTTAAGTGTTCATTTTCCCTGGAACACTCACTAAATATGATACAACTGTGAATCTTTAACGGGACTGGTTGTCTTCCAGTAACAATGTGATGGTGATTATGCTTAAAAGACAAAAAAAATGCTTTCAACAGAATGATCTCCATATCTCCCCTTTCTAGTTTTTGTCTTTTCTCTGTTTTGAGTTCTTAGCAGGCTGATAGTTCCTAGTGTTGAGTTGGAGAAATGCAACAAAGAAGTGACAGAGCAAATAAAACAATCATGATGTGTCTGTTTCCTCATGATGACAGCCAGCAGATTTCAGACGGCTAGAGTTGTTCAGTATTTTTGTCTGAAAGTATTTGACAAAGCATCCAGTGGAGAAGCACTGGATACAGGGACATAATTAGTAGTATTTCTCCTCTAGCAATATATTCAGGGGGCCTTTTTCTCACAAGAATCTGATATGTGAGGGTATGAATTTAGCAGTTTTATGTGGTATGTTTTGGTTTTTACCAACTTTGAACTGAAAGGAAATACTACGATGCGATTTGAATGGTAAGTTGAGGTTTTAAAACCTGAAGGTACACTAAGGATTGCATACATGTTTGGACACTGGTTCTTTGTAGCACTGAGCACTTGGTAGCTTCCTGTGACTTAGAGATCTGAGCAGTGAAGCAGGAGTTGTGGATGGATGGTCTTCAGTCTTCGTTAACACACTAGGTGCCTAAGTATCATCAGCCTAGCTCTAGGCTTACATTTTGGGAATCTAGTCTGTTAGTATGTAATTTTAACCCTTAAGTGTAAGGCTAGAAGGTCTATGTATGTGCTGCTTCGCCATCTTAAAATTTCTCTTAGTTGCAATTTTACCACATAATTTAAAAAATAGGCTAAAAATCTTTTTTTTATGCTCCAGAAGTAAGCTTTTCTTCCTCAAAGGCTGAGTATGTATTGTATATACACCCCTTAATTACTTTTCTCTTAGTGGTGTTACAAAAAACCTGACTTCATTTGGTAGACTGCCTATCAAAAGTGTAGAAGTTTTCTCAATGAACGCTATTTTCTGAGGTATTTTGCTCTATGGTTCAGCCATTGCTTCTCAACTATAAGACAACTTCCACTTTCAATGCACTTTGAGTCTTCCCTTTTTCTCCTTTTTTCTGCTTCTGGCCTGGAAACTCATATGCCCTGCTTGTCACCTTTCCCTCTTTCTTTCAGTTAGTGTGTTGCTTCCACGTTTTTCTGGTTCCCTCCATAGACTTCAAATGAGTTCTTGCCCTTGTTCTTGGAAAGCTCCAGGTCTGTTTTGGAAGAAGACTGGAGGTTCATAGCAGTTAGTGATTGAAGTGACAGTGTTTGTCATATATGTTCATGACTCTTATCTGAGTTATAATAATTTTTTTATGTATTTTGACCTGTGTTTGCAAAATGCCACTGTATTTATTTTTTTTTATGGTGCACGCAGATCAGTGTAAACTATGAACACTGAATATGCATGATTCCTTCTTTCTCACTCTCTGTAACAAATTCCCTTCTAATTCTTGGCCTCCTTGGCTGCCTAGCTCTATACTGCCTGTCTTGTTCCCCACAAACTCCAATTTAATCTGAATTCTTTTTAAATAAGTAGCTGTAGTTTACAATGTTTGGACAGTGGAAGGAGCCCAGGCTATCCTGACTACAAAACAATTGTTAAGAGTTATCCTACTGATTTTACATCACAGCTGTTTTTTGAATTTGGACTAGTATAGCTAGTAGTTGTTATATTAAATGTTTCCCAACTTCCTGAATCCCACATTCACCAAGTTGAGGTCCCATGCTATTTGATGCACTTGAAGACGTACGTATGATGCGTTTGATGCAATTAATACATATTAATACATATCTGTGAATATGACAATGCAGAGCTAATCCCCAAGAGCTTTTGTTCGTTTTTGAAGGGAGTACTAGATTTCAGTCTAGATACGTTTTGAGGGTCCAGTTATACATAGCTTTGTACTTTCTTGTACAAAGCTTTCCCTCTTCGTAAGGTTTTTCTGCAACCTACTGGCTTGAGTTTGAGACTATAGCATACTAGCATGTCTTACATGTCATAAACAGGTCAGCAGCAAAATAAAAATACTTAACAATTCTGTTGAAGGTAGCAGTAACTTATGCAGTGAAAGGCATCTTTGAGAAGCATAGTTTTGGGGTTGCTGTCACTTAATGCATATTGGCAAGGTGACCGTAGTTCATCTGGTTTAAATGAATTGACGTAGCTTTGTGCCAGGTGTCAATCTGATCCATTTTATATTGTGTACACTTACTCCTTTGGATTAGATTTTGGGCTTTGAGTAGTAATATTATACATCACCCAAACTTTTCCCAAAAGTACCTCATCATACAGCAACGGAAATGAAAGGGACTTTCTGTATCTCAACAATATAGCCTCCCCTTACTGCAGATAACTGTATGATATAGTCCTTTCTATAAACTTCTTTCATAAAGATAGAGCAATTCCCACTACACCCACTGGATATTTAAATTCACATGTTCTAATCCAGGAGCAAAACCTCTAATGATTTGCCACGAGGCCAACTTTTCAGAGGGCTGCCCATGTTTCACTCCTGTTATCACTAACCAGAACCACTCCCCTGACACTGGCTGTGCTGTCAAAATGAGTCAGTGTGTCCTGCTAACAGCCTCTCCTGAACAAAAGAGGCCTCCTGCACTTGGCTCTGCCAGAGTTAAATGACTCAGTCTGTTTCTTCCCTTCGTTCCTTTTTGTGCAATCTGCCTTGCCTTTGAGAAGGTTCTGCTCCTTTAGTCCCAGACATGTTTGGCAGCCAGTTATCCCCTTGGTATGTTTGGTCCTGGTTGTCCTAACTAAGATCTCAAACTCTTTGAGTGTAGAATGTGATTTGATGGAATGAATTCAAGAAGTTTTAGTGCAAGATAGAGACCAAAATGATAGCCTGCTCACTAGGAAATTTGCCTACACAACAGTACACTTTGCAAAAACAGATTGGTGAATAAGATGGAAACCTGACAAATTTGTAAGTCTTTTGTTGTGCTCTACAGCAGCAGTGTCTTATCTGCCTTCCTGCATCCCAGGAAACTGTGACAAATTTGTGAAAGATAAGGCAATATTGTTGTTTTTTCCTCTCTACCTTCCTGTAGTACTTCTCTCCTTTTATGCTATAATGAAGATTTTATCCACACTGATATTAATTCAAAATATAAATATATCAGTGGCTATATTCCTTAGTCAGCCTGGGGGCCTGAAAATATAACCTAAATGATTCCATTCTTGCAAGCTGTGTTAGAGTCCTACGAAGTTCTCCATCATAGTATTTACAAGAAAAGTGATTTGCATTTAATAAAAGGTTTTCTTATCCAAGTCCATGGTTGTGCTTGACCCCTCAGGTGTTTGCATTAAAACTTATTAGCATGCTTAACTCCAGTGTCGCTCAGATGAATGTCTCATTACCATGCGAATGGCATTAGCTCCTTTCTGAGGTTAATTGTTACAAAGCAACACAGAGAGCGATCTATTGTAATTTACTGAACACAGAACACCAGCTTAGGCAGGGCAGCAGCCATCATAGTCTAGCAGCCTAAAACTTAACTACATAAAGTCCACTAGGGAAAACAACAGCATTGTAAGTAATGGTTTGGACTTAGTTGTATATAACATGCATCACTGTTCTGGTCTTGAAATGCAACTCTTAGTCACACTAATTTGTGGCCATGTTTTACACCAAGGTCTGCTGACTTGCAGCCAGAGGGCGAATCTAGTTTAGAAGCTGGTAAATGGTGTTATACTGTAAATGTAGAAATCCCTTGGAGCAAACTCACAAGAATGGCCACAGTCAGCAGTACTGGTTAATTTACTGCAGACCACCTAGGCTATCTCTTTAGCAAACTGCATTTTCACATTTCACAAAGTGCTTTAGAGGTTTAATAGAATTCTTCAGAGCACAAAATAGAATTGGATCCCATCCTTTAGGAAATTATACACTGGGATTCATTTAAAAATGCACATTAAGCCCTTTGAACAGTTCAGAATGCTTCTTTGTGGGATAATTTGGCAAGGCTTGAGATATTGCCACCTGATTTCCCATAATGGTATCACAAAAGAATTGTGACACCTTTAAATACTGGACCCCCCTACATTTTTGGGGGCAGTGGGGAGAGGGTTGTGTTTGGGTTTTTTTGGTGGTTATCTTCAAACATTTGCAACATTAGAAATTGTTATTTGCTTTTACTTCAGTACCATGCTATGTTTCTCAGAAGGGTGAAAAATAAAAAATGCTCACTGTATGCCTTACCTTATGTTAGTGACATGAAAAGCCTCAGGACTTTTTCACTGCCCAAGAAAAGACTTTAATTTAACAGCACATTTAGTTCAAAGTATTGTTCTTTCTCTTGCACAATATCTCACAACATTTATTACGCACCCCAGCAGAACAACAACCAGGAAAGTGCGATTGCAATATACGTTCCATCAAAATAATTGATGCAGATTAAAAGCACATAAATGGAAAATAAATCAATACATTCCTGATTCCTTTTCATTAGAATCATTACT